GGAATGGTGGGAGATCTCACTTGAGCAAAAAGCCCTCAAATGCAGCATTGAGCTTCCCTTGGGGCCCAGCCTGGGCAGCTGTCTCTTAGGTTTGCCACCTCTGGAAAGGAAGAGAGGCCCAGATGGGTTAACGCTCTCCCTCCCCAAAAACCATAGAGGGTGGTGAACAACACAGACAACTTCTCCCAAGATCTCTGCAGGAGCTGTTGTCCAAAAGATCCCAGATAGCACATGTAGTCACCCACAGTCACCTCCCCAGCATGTGGGACAGGCAGGTTTACACTTGTGCCAGCACCAAGCCTGGGTCAGTTCTGCACCAGCTGCTTGTTTCATGTCCATAAGTGACTCTGTGGTATCATAAATATTTTCCCCCATGTGCCAGTAGCTGTGAGACACTGAGCTGCTTTCTTGGGCACAGGGGCCACTGCACTGCCCCCTGTAAAGAGCCAATTTGTGCAGCTGCCAGATGCTGCCAACAGCATCAAAGCTTTCCTTAGCTCTTAATAACCCTGTTAGGTGCCAACCAAAAGGCCTTGTCCTTACTCTTCTTTCTTCTCTTTCTACTGTTTTCCAAAGTGTTTTCCTGCACTTGATGCATGTGGACCCTGACAGCACCTGGCTGCTCCTGAGTGAGGTGTGCTGCCCCGAGGGGTACGAGCCCCCCCACCCCAGCCTGCACCCGGTGAAGCTCAGCGGGATGGGGCAGCCACGGAACGAGCTCACGGACAACGTGCTGCTCCTGCTCCAGAGGCTGCAGCAGCAGGAGGGCACGGGACCCAGGACCAGCACACAGGAGGCATCTCCTTCCTGATATACCTACACAGCAGCTGGGATGGGAAAGAGGAACCACCAAGATAAGAGCTCACCTGGGAAAACACCATCACTGAGAGCCCAAACGGTTCAGGGGCAAAGGAAGGGCTGCCCAGTGTGGGGCACTGGCTGAGACACCTCCCCATGGCAGAAGGTTTATTTTTTGAAGTGGTGTTTGAGGATGAAGTGGGTACATGACCTTGACTCCTCCTGACTTGTACCTCACCAGCACCACATGCAGAGAAAATGGCACATCTATTCCAAATTCTTCAGTATGAAGAGTGAATCATCTTCCAGAAGTTACTTCCTAACCCTTGATCCTTGGGGGGGGTGCCCCCTTAGCACCCCCCACACCTCTCTGATCTCTTCACAGCTGTGATGATCCCTCCCATTCTCAGCTGGACACTGACAACTCAAAGCAAAAGCTTTTTCTGGTCTTTTCCCTTCCCAGGAAGAGAATCTTGTTTGGGGTGCACTATAAACCTGTTCTCTTTAAAAGCAGTTAATCTCAGAAATTAAAGTGCATTTCCAATAAATTCCTCACCTGTGCTACTGGCAAGAGCAACGTGTCCTCTCAGAAGCATCAGGGCTGCTCCTCACAGCTGCAATTTGCTGAGACCAGATGGAGGCAGCCAAACGTGCTCTCTTCTCTATCTCACTCTCTGAGAGGTTCTGTAGAGAATCAGCCAGCCCTGATTTACACCTGGGAGTGATTTAGAGCTTCTCCCATTGCCAGATCACGGTTCTCAGGCCATTTCCAACCCCCATCTTAAGGAGAATTATATGAAGCATGTGCTTGTGTCCCAGCACATGTCAGACAGTGCCAGCAGTGACAGGGCCTGTGAGCACTGGGGCACCCCGGCAGTGCCATGGTTTGTCAAAGCAGGTACAACACGGTACAGTGAGCAGAGGATGACTTGTCTTTGGGGTCAGCTCACTCCCCCTGCTGAGAGGATCTCCAGCTCCCACATCCCCAGGCTTTTGCTGCAGAGATTGTCCACAGGCACTGCTTTGCTCAGCTGCCTCCCAGACCTCACCAGCTCCTGGATCCCTCAGCTTCACACAAGCAGCTCCTGGTAGCAGGCTGCCTCCTGACATTCGGGGAAGACCTATGCAAGTGAAGCAAAAGGGCAGATTCTTTACTAAATTTGGAAGCAAGCTCAGAAATACAAAAACCAAAGCAATAAATAAATTGTTACATGGACCAGGCTTTGTGCATCACTGTTGGGATCCTGGGTGAACATCCAAAACAAATCTGTCCTGGTGGGCCCAAGGGCACTGCCTTTGCTGCCACATCCCTCAGCTGAAGTTACTTCCCCTTGTCTCCCTGGTTTTATTTAGGCTTTCCTCCTGTTTGTTTCTCCAGGGAAAACACAAGTCAGTGGCTTTTTATCCAGTAGGACAGGGCTGCAGGTCAGCTTTACTCTTTTTTAATATCTGTTCAGTGCTTAACGCTGGTTGGGTTCTATACAAAGGAGCCTTCAGAGCTGCTCTGACAGGGCAGGCAGGAAGGTGAAATACTGTCTTTGGTTTCCAAGCGCCCTTGGGGCTGGTGCAGTTTTCTGGGTTGTTGTAGCACTTGACAAAACTCATCCATTAGGTGCAGATGCTGCATCCAGCCTCGCTCTGCTCGGCTGTGCTGGGGACGCCAAAGACCCAGCCTGCCCATGCCAAGACTTGCCATCCTGCAGGACAGGCATAGCATTCAAGGGCACCATTGTCCCATCACTGCCCAGTGCCCAGGAGCCAAACACATCACCCAGCCAGGGCTCTGGCACAACTGACTGCACCCCACCTATAACCTGTGATTCACAGTGCTGTCCAGAGATTTTTCCCCACAGCCTCAGCCCCAGCCAGCAGGTGGGTGCTGGTAGCAGGAGAGGCTGTCCTGCCTGTCACAGTGAGCTCCTCTCAGCTTCGTTAACACCCTTGCTTTATTGGAGGCTGAGTAAATTGCTTTTGTCTGAGGCAGGATAATGGCAGGGAGAGGGACTGCGTGGAAATGGCATTTTCATGAGGCTGGTTCCTCCCCAGCAGTGACTTGCATATTAAGCTCAGTCCCTTCACAAGCCCAGGGCTTTCCCCACCAGAAGTCTCCTCCACCAAGCAACCCTCAACACTCTGGGGTGGGGACCCCTGGCTCCCCCCACTCCAGCCATCCTCTCTGGGATCAGAGAGCCGAGAAAGCCATGTCCAGCTGCCTCCTCCATGCACAAACCCAGCCAGGACCCTGGGGGACTGCCACACCCGGAGCTGGGAACACAGTCCCACACACAGCCCCTGGCACCAGGCACTGCTGAGCCATGCACACAGATCCAGCAGGGTCCTCCCCTCAACTCCTGCTCCCAAGATTTCCTATAAACTCAGCAAAATTAATCTCTTCTAATAAAACCTGTTATTGTTAAAGCTCACCTCCAGGTTTTACAAATCACTATGCTGCACAGCAATTTGTTTACTCCCCATTGGAGGTGATTTGCAGTCTCCTGACCTCTCTAGCGTGTCCCTGGGTCTTCCTTTTCCTCTGTTGTATCCTGTGTTTTGCTGCACTGGTGACCAATGCATCCCAATTTCTCTTCTTCCCCCAGCAATCCCAATCCCTGCCTGGAAGAATTTGAGCATAGTCCCAGCCCCACAGCTCTGCCAGGGATAGCTATGGCACAGCAAGGGGTGAGCATGATAGAGATCTAGGAAGTAACAAATTGCAAAGAAGCTGCAGGAATGTGGGCAGCTGGGCTAGGCTGGGCATTGCCAGTGCTCAGAGTTGCTTTCTCACTGGAGAGGCAGAGCCAGGCCCCAGGGGCAGCCAGCACCCTGCTTTGGGAGCCCCCACCTCCCACCTGGCTGGAAATCTGGTCTGGGTACCCAGGTGGGTGTCAAGATTTCACCTGGCAGCCTACCCAGCCACCCCACAGAACCCAGCGCTCCATGGCCACAGCACGGAGCATCCCCAGCTCACCTGGGACCTGCTGTATCCTGCATCCCTCAGGGCAGGATCTCCCAGGCTGGGCAGAAGCTCCCCAGCTGCAGCTTTTTAAAGCTTTGAGCCTTCAGCTGCAGGTGATGATATTGATGCCCATCCCCACCGGCCCCAGTCCAGCAGCCCCAGCTCTGCCCCTTTTTGCCCGAGACAGTGCCAAAGCCTTGCCACAGACAGAGAGCACAGACCCGCAGAGGTTTCGTTTAAAGAGCTTTATTAGCTGCAGCAGGTCTGATGGTGGCAGGCTGGGGGGCAGCAGGGGAGCAGCGCCCGGCACCGGGCGGGGAGGCTCGGGACCCCCCTGTCCCTCCCCACAGCTCCGTCCCCAGTGGCCGTGGTCACCCGTGGGGGCAGCAGGGATGGGCTCTGCTGTTTGTACTGCGACACAAGAGCCCGTGGGCCAGCCCCTGCCCTGGGCAATGTGGTGTTGTGGCCTGGGAGGGAGGGACGCTCGACCGAGAGGGAGCCGAGAGCCTCGCACGGGCAACGGGATGGGGCCAGGATGGACGGGGCTGGCGGATGAGCGCCCCATCCTCTGCGAAAGGAGGAGTGATGGGTGCAAGGGGCCAGCTGCGATGGCACAGCTTCCCAGGCACACACGGAGCACGGGCAGCTGCCTGGCTGAGCGATGCCCGAGCGTGGCGGGAGGATGCCAGGAATGTGCCGTGCCGTCCTTCCTCTGCTGAGCTCAAGCCTTGACGTGCTGGGGGCTGCGGGGCAGGCAGGGGGGATACACACGGGCTGTAGGATGGAGGCTGGAACTTAGATACGCAATGTGGGGCTGGAACCGAGCAACTAAACGGGACAACCTACAGGAACAGGCGGCTGGGTCTGCGAAGCACAGGGGAGAAGAGGGCAGGGGGAGTCCGCACTGGGCAGAGAGCTGGGACACAGCACAGCCCGCGGCACCACGGTGGCAGCGGGCACCCAGCCGCACAAGGCCGGGCGGATGGAGACCACCAGGTGTGGGCACACGGCCTGGCCCCGGGCACAGCCCCAGTGATGCACCCATGGCACTGACAGCTCCGGCTCCCGCACCACGCCGAGCCCTGGGGAGAGAGAAACCCGCGGCGCCCGTGGGAGAGGGAGATGCTGAGGGGTGTTGGACAAGACGGGGTGGTGGGGCCAGTCTGTGGCAGGGGGTGCGGGACCCTTGATGGCTCCGCTGAGTCCGGGGCGGAGGGGGGCTCCGGCGTCCCCTCGCACCGCCCATCTACAGCACGCAGGAGGTGTCTGCCGAGCGCTTCTTCAGCTCCTTCCCGGCTTTGTGGTGGTGATGGTGATGGTGTGCGTGGGCTGAGCCCGGCGCTGCCAGCTCTGCCAGCGGGGCCTCCCGCAGCTCGGTGTCCTGGGGGTGCCCCGGGCCCCCCGCTGCCTCCACCCGCAGGTACGCCTTCACCTTGTGGTGCCGTGCCTTGCCGTCGCTGGAGTCGATCACCCGGCACTCGTACGTCCCCTCGTCCTCCAGCTTCACTCGCGACAGCCGCAGCTTGTGGGAGATGTTGCTGCCGACCACCTTCACCACCTGCATGGGGACAGACGGGCGGTCAGGGGGCCCCCAGCGCTCCCACTGCCCCCCCAGACACCCGGGTCAGTGCCACCCCCGAGTGTGTGACAGCACGCCACACCTCATCCTTGTGCTGGAGAGGACATGGTAGAGGTTGGTGAAGTTGGTGCGGGGGGACCCAGCCCCAGCCTGGACCTGCAGGATGATGGAAGCCCTGGCTCGCACCCGGCCACGCAGGGCTCAGAGATCGATGCGGAACCACGCTGGCTAATTAGCTTTTCTACCAAATTGATTCGCTCTCAGTATTTATCACCCAATGAAATTTAAGACTTACTCACTAGCCAGAGCCACGGCTGCTCTGGGCTGGGTCAATAAATCAGATTTATAACCCACCCCGAGGCCCCTGGCTCTGTTCCCTATAATCACACTGGATGGCAAAGGCCGTTTTTCTACTCGCCGCTGCATTTGTTAGCTGAGGATTTTATGGTGTTTGGAAACGGGGCCGGAAAGGGGCAAAACTCACCCCAAACAGCACAGGGTGCAGCGTGGGAACCCTTCAATGTCCCCTCAGCCCCTCACTGTGGGGGCTCAGTGCTGGAACATGAAGACAGCTGCCCACACGTGCACATACAAACACACATGAGCACATACAAGCTGCTGCATTCAGCTGCCCTGCACACCCTGGGCTGCTGAGAGGCAGCTGCTGCCACAGGACACAGCCAGGGCCACCCCAAACAGCGTCTCAGGGCTGCTCAGTGGCCACGTGCAGCCCCAATCCTGCATTGCTGGAAGTGGGGGTCTGGGGGGACAGGACAAGGCAGGGGCAGGATCTGCCAGGCCCTGGTACAAGTGTACCAGCCCAGATGCTGAGATTGTCATGGAAAAGGAGCTTCATAAAAACCTCTTCATCGAGAGAGCCAGAAATTACTGAAATTAATGGCTGGGAAATTTAGAACTAATAAAATAAAACCCCAATTTGCTGGTGCCACCAGTGGCCATGGAGCCGCTACCCAGCAGGTCACTGAGCCTCAGGAGGGAAGATTTTATGACCAGCCATAACTCCTGTGGCTCTGCCAGCACAGGCAAGGCAGTGTCGGCCCTCACTGCCCATGGGAATGGGACAGAGCCCCTGGCATGGCCAGGATGGGCAGATTTGCTGTGCCCAGCCTCAGCTCAGCTCTGTGCTGTTGGATTCAAAGGGGGAAACATAAACCCAGACCCACCATGTTTCACTTCTCTTCATCCCTGCAAAGCATCTCCAGCACCAGGTGTGTTTGGTGGATAACACATGGCCAAGGGGTGCCTGGCACGGTGGCTCCTCCTTGGGATTTACATCCCCCCTCACTGTTTGACTCTGCTGTTTGTTCCCAGTCACCTGCTGTTGTGGCTGTACCTCAAGTTCCATCAGAACCGCCCATGCTCATTTACCTCCTCCATTCCATAAACACTTAATGATCAAGGACATTTGAAATAACAACAAACAAAAGAGGTTTGAAGCTCCAGCCTCTCCCTGCTGGCTGGATCTGGAGGAGGCAGCAGAGACCTCGAATGATTCAAAATAAATCCTGGTTACACTTGCACACCCATCAATTCCATCCCAGCGTGCAATTAACTGCCTAATTATGCTGAAACATGCACGGGTTGAGCTGGGAGGGAGTGCTGCCCTAGGATGGCTCCGTGCACCCTCTGCAGCCCCTCCTGCCCCTGGAGCAGGGCTCGGGTGGGATGGAGGGAGCAGCAGCCCCCCCGAGCTCAGCAGACAGGGTCTGGCAGAGCCCGAATCCAGCAGCAGTCCTGGAATTTGCTGCTTGTGGGGCAGGGAGCCACAGCACTGTGGTGAGGAACAGATCCTAGAGGATCTGCTTAGGTTTGGATATGGGTTATGGGTGTTCGTTAATCAAAGGGGACATGACCCCTGGAGGAGGATTTGTTACCATCAAGAGAATCATGCACTGATCATGCAGATGGGTGCTGAAAGGTGATGCTCTCCCTTGAGAAGGGTTCCCCAGAGATGAGACTGATCCTGGGTGTGGGGGGCACCCATCTGAGAATCCAGAGGTGCCTGACTAACCCCATCCCCTCTTGCTCACTCACTGAAGGGAAAATGGAAGTGCCAGGAGAGGCTGCCAGGTGATGGTGGGAAGCTTTCCAGCACAGCTCTATGTCTGTGGCACCCCCAAATGCAGAGCTCCCCAAGACAAGGAGAGCCAGGAGGGCACACGCCTAGCAGCAGAAGGCCAAGAGTGTTTTCTTTAACTGATTAGTGGCTCCTCATTCTGCTCACATGAGCCTAAATGGCTTTGGGATGCTAATCCGCCGAGTCAATCGGATTATTTTATCCCTGGCATTAATGTGTCGCTCAGATGTTGGACGAGGCTCAGAGTCCAAGCTGTGCCTCTCAGTGCCAGGGAGAGCAGGGCAGCCACCCCTCACCCTGGTCACCCTCAGGAGTGAGCCAAGGCAGACCCAGTTCTCCCACCCTGGTGTTCCCAGCCTGTGGCACTGGGACCAGTGGAATGTCCAGGTGAGCCCTCAAGCACAGCCTCCCACAAGAACCATCACCCAAACTCACGCTGATTTTTGTCGCCTCTTTCCCAGGCTCCTCTTGTGGTGATGATTTCAGCTGTGGAAAAAGCAGGGCAGGGGGAGACCAGAGAGGGAAGAGAAATGGTCAGCTCAGTCCACCAGACCCCTTCCCACTCCAGGACGGCTGCCCCAAGCAAGACAGAAGAGGGAGAAGGGGGAAGAGAGAAGAGACTGCCGAGCCCCAGCAAACTCAGGCACTCAGGGCAGATGAAGCCACACTGGGTACCCAGGATGGGAAGAATCAGCAGCAGCACAGAAGCCAGGGAACATGGGGTGCTCACTCACAGGTCCCACTGCATCTCAGCTCCAGGTGCTCCCCACAATCCAGGAGTGGGGATGGAGCCCTGATCACTGTGGCATCACTGCTGCACCAGTGCCCCTGTCCCTGGAACTCTGTCCCCATCACTTCAGCACCTGCCCCATTGCCACCAATCTTCCCCTCCAGCAGCCACTGGTTGTGCATTCCCAGTGCCTCCAACACCCTTGACCCTGTCCACCCTCAACCCCTGGCAGCACTCCCCCCCACATCCTGGCAGCACTGCCCTGAGGCTTCTCAATTTATGGCAACACCAGCAGCAGCCCTGCCAAAGACACTACAATAAAGGCTCATTAAAATCCCCAAAGCTGTTTCCCATTCTTTGGCCCTTATCTCTGTGTGAACAGAGAGAGAAATAGAGAGAGGCTGTTTGCTGGACCAATACACAGGGAAACAGGGGACAAGGGAGGGATGGAGGGTGCAGGGCCAGGAGGGATGAGCTGGTGATGAGATAGGCGAAGGCACAAGCACAAAAACAAAGCCTCAGCCTGGGATGGGTGCTGGCAATGGGCCAGGCACCCCCTCGGCTGGGAAGGGTAATCAGGACAGCCCAGCCCCACCGGCCCCAGAGCATCCTCAGTGCAGCTGGAGGCTGAGCAGCCCATGCAGACTGTTAATTGCATCACAGGAGCCGCGGCTGCGCTCTGTCAGAGCAGAGGGTGAAACTCTGCGGGTCCGGTCAGCACCTGCGATGCTATTGCGGGTTGGGGTCCCCCACCAAAACCCAACAGCGGCTGCAAACAAAGCCCTTCCCATGGCAAGGACAGGCAAGGGCTCTGCCTGAAGGGCTCTGCCTTGTGGAGGAGGAGGATGAGGGGCATTACCTGACTGGAAGCCCACGTCTGTTTGTCCGTCCAGTCCTTGTGGTTGCGGACGTACCACCACTGGATCTCAAGGGAGTAGGAGGGGGAGCCGCTGCCGCGGAAGGAACACGCCATCTCCACATCCTCACCCGCCTGCGCCGTCATGTCGTGGGGGGTCTCGGTGAAAAGAGCTGCTGGAGACAGAGGGAGGGCTGTGGGTGCCTGCGGGGACACAGCACTGTCCCAGTGAAGGACAATGCCTCCGGCCACACAGGCAGAGTCACCAGGAGTGCCTGGATCCTTCCCTGGCCAAACAGACCCAGTCACGTCCCTGTCATCCCCAACTTCTCCTTTCCCACTCCCGTGTTCCCTCCCCACCCCAGCAGATCTGCCTGACCCCCCCCCCACCAGGCACTTTGCAAACAGCAGTGGGAGGGAGCCTGTGACCCCTGATCCCATAGCATCCCTCAGACCCCTGCCCCAGAACGAGTGCGGGACCTGCCACACCTGTGAAGTGAAGGAAATAAATAGAGCATGATGGCATCTCACTCAGATCAGGACATAACTGAAAAACAAATCCTCACTTAATGCGGCCCCAAACAGGCTCCCACACGCCATATGGTTTGCTTTCCTCGCTCAAAACAAATATTGTTCAGAGATGTAATTAGAATTCTTTTCATCTCCTCTGGAGAGACTGTTGTTCCCCCATACAGACGGCCCCAGCGTGCAGGGCACCGGCAAACTCTGCTGCCACGATCCGTGCAGTGGCTTCTCCGTGGCACGGCATGGGGACAGGGCTGCCAGCCCCCTGCACACCCCGGTCACTGCTCCCCTGTGCCTCCTGCCTTCACTCACCACCCCAGGCTGCCGGCACTGCCGGCTCGCAGCCACAGTGCGGGTCCCATCGGAACCACCGGCGCCCTCTGGGACACACAGCCTGTCGGGACCAACACTCTCTCCAGCCCTGATCTCTCTGAAAACCAATTATTACCAGCCCAGACAAAAAGTTAATACCTCTAATATCTCCCCGTCCCTCTGGACGCATGGAAATCCCATCCACTTATCGCTTTCCTTTAATCCATCTCAGCAGGGAGCAGAGGAAAATACCCAACACCGGGGTTTACCAAGGCAGGGTGTCCTGGTGGGGTTCCCAGTGCTGTTCCCACATCCCGGTCACCCAGAACCCGGCACCAGCAGCCACGTGGAATCTGTGCCGGGGAGTGGAGGGAGCCCCAGGCAAGGGAACAGCTCTGGTGACCGAGGGCTGTGCGAGGAGCAGGGGGGTCTTCTTGGCACAGGACAAAGGGTTCCTCTGTGCTCCAAGCCACATTAGTTCTGAGGCTGTTGTGTCCAATCATCAACGAGCACTCGCCCACCCATTCCCTGGCTGCAGCCAGAATCAGGCTCTTGCCCCACAGAATTCCTGCTGGCAGGAGCAATGGCCAAAGCCAGTGGGTCGCGGCAGAGCCTGCACCAGCCCCCCAGACACCACAGCTCCAGCAGTGCAGGGGCGGGGTGACGGCCTGAGAGCTCCAGCCAGGTCCAAATTACTGGGAAGACAATTAAAATCTGCTCCCACAGACGAGAATTTGGCAGATAAACTGAGAAAAGGCTGGATTGAATCAAGCGCCTTCTTTCTTTTCGATTTTAATTGGGAAGCGTATGTATTAATTTACCCCAGAGCTCGGCCACCTCCAAGCGCATCCAGAGGAGCAAAGATTCTGCAGATGGATACCCAGGGTCATCACCTTTGCTGGGGACACGTGTCTTTCAGATACGTCCTCCAGCAGCACCGTGTGTCCTCTCTGATGGATGTCATGGACCCCGGCGCTGCCTGGACAGAGGTGACTCTGCACCCTCAGCTCTGCCCCTCACAAGGACACGAGTGGGGATGAGAGCAGTCCCAGGCTGGGCAGGGACCCTGCACTGGGTCAGCTAAGCTGCCTGGACACTGCTCCTGCGAACACACACCAACTCTGGCCAGTGCCCTGTCCCTGCAGAGTCCCGGTCCCCTGCCCACCCCAGCCCCGTCCCTCTCCCCCCACTGACATTGGAGCCGCATCCCCACAGCGGGAGGGAGGCAGGGGCCGTCGGGGGCCGCTGCTCCGTGTGCTTTATGGTCTGCTACCTGTCATAAACTGAGAACACCAGGATCAATAAATCTTCCAGGAAATAAAAATCAGGGGAAATAAAATGAACTCAATGGGGAAACACAGATAAACAGAATTGAAAACGCCTGCTGGGACAGCTTGGTGCTCTCATAAACCAGAGACAGACGGGCTGCAGCTCCCTCCCTGCGGTGGGCACCATCCCTCACCTTGGTCACGCTCTGCACGGGGAAGGGGCTGTGCTGGGGCAAGAGCGGGTCATGCATTGCCCCGAGTCCCTGGAAATGACCACAGACCCCTGCTCCATCCACCTGCCTCGTCCACAGGCCCCACGCAGCACAGAAAGCCATGCAGCCCCCAGGAGCCTCTCCAAGACTCTGTCTGCCATCCCACAGCTGTGCCAGCTTCCATGGCCCCCCACCACAGCCCCCACAAGGCACCAAGGACGACACCGGAGCAGCGTCATGGGCACGAACTCAGGCTAATTGTTGTGTAAAGATGTACCGGAGGACAATGAAATATGCATTGGACATTTGCAAACGCCTGTTAATCACTGTCAGCGCAGGTTCCGGCTCCGGCAGGGATTTTTTCCCTAAGCCGGGAGTCAGAAGCCTCTTTCTGTGTCCAATGGAACTGGTTCCCCTCACCGGAGCTGCGGCAGGGCTGGTGGGGTGACAAACGCCAAGCAGGCGGCGGGGCTGGGGCTGGCTCCGTCCCACGCTGGGCAGGGACAGGGGCTGGGGGAGCTGAAACGTCCCTGTGCTCCTGCTCCTGCCCATTGGAGTGTCCATCCAGACCCTGCCCTGCGTCTCTGGTGTGGGGCCGGCTCTGATCGCCTGGGTTTGTGCTGCACCGCTGCAGGAAAAGCAAATGTGTCCCAACAGAATCCACCATCACTCTCCTAAGGCACCCACAGCCCCTTCCCCAGACATCCACGACCCCTCCGGCACCCTCCCCTTTTCCAGGAACCCACGGCTCCTGTGGCTGATGGACAGCGACAGCCTCGGCTTCAGGGGCACCAAGTCCTGCCGGCGGCAAAAGCACCCGAGACACATCCCGGCACAGGGCAGGGCACGGACCCAGAGACAGATGGGCCCTCCTGGGTCCCGCCACCCCTTGGCACAGCCCCTCGAGAGCCATCCCAGGGTATCGGGAGGCACAGGAGGCACCCTCCGGATGGATCCAGAAGAGACCTGGGCATTACCCCAGTGCCTGTGTGACCCGCACTGTCCCCACCACGGGACACCGGATCCGCCAGAGGCTGCTGCACAGGTCGGGCTGCAGCCTCGCTTCTCTCCCTTCCCTCCCTTCCCCTCCCCACCTCCGCTAACAGCTGTGGATGCGTCTCCTCCTGACAAGCCTGCGAGCAGGGATGCTGACCCCGGGGCGCTGCAAACACATCGCGGTGCAAACCGCTGCATAAACACGGCGTGACGGCCGCGTCACTGCCGAGAGAGGGCAGGGGGCTCCGGCCCCGGCAGCCGAGCGGGCAGAGGATTTTGGCGGTGAGCGCTGCTCTCCTCCAGCCATGTCCCTTCCCACGAGACGCGTCTGGAGCCTTGCGGCCGTGCCTGGGGCCGGGAGGCTTCCACCACACGCTGGGGATGGCAGCGCCATTGCTCTGCCCCTCTTTACTGTCAAATGAGCAGCAGAAGGAGCTCAAATTTGCAGCATGTGAATTAAAAACAAAAAAAACCCCACCTAACTTAGTGACTGTGATCAGGCCAGCACTCATCTCACCACAGGGCTGGAATTAACCTTGAAAACTGCAGGTATTTCCAACAGTGCCCCATGGCTGCCCCAGCTCCTGCCCCTAGTGCTTGCCGCACCCATAATGTTTAACCCCCTCAGCAAGAGAGAGCTCAGTGGTGAGTCTCTCCATTGTGGCTCTCCCTGGCTACACAAAGCTTTGCCTACACAAGGGGACTTGCTGCTCCCATCTGCTTCCTGAGGACTCGCAGTTCTTAGAAAATTCCCTCCCAAGGGGCTCAAGGAAGAGCTGTTGTTTGATAGTATAAGTAGCAAAGCCCTAAACCGGCCTTTTTTTGACAGCTCCCAGTGGGGCTCCAGCCGTGTGTACGGCCCGCGTGCAGCCACCACTCGCCCTGGTGCCACTCTCTGCCAGGGGACGGCTCCCAGCAGCCAGGGGAGGATTCTCAGCCGGAATCATTCAGCAGGAATGGGATGGGGCAGACAGGATCAGCCCCCCTGGTCTCACACCCAGCACCCAAAAGACGAGCCACTGGCACTGGCAGCCGCTGCCGAGAGCTGCCCACACCACAGTGCCTGGCGCTCATGGACACGGCACATTCCTGCCCGGCTCTGCCCACCCCATCACCGCTGAGCTCATCCCAACCCGGCTCCACACGGAGCACACGATCCAAACCATCAATACACCCATCACAACCGAGCCCAGCCAACATCCCCGGTGTTCAATCGGGCACCCACCGCAGACGGAGCCTTAGAGAGGGGGCAGCCAGCCAGGAAAGAGCCCTGCAGGAAACAGCCATAGAACAGAGGGGCTCGGAGAGAGCCAGAGCTGTCGAGGATAGGGCCAGGAAGGGCTGTCTGTCCCGAGTCCCACTCACACCATGAACCAAAATCCCAGAGGAGCCGTGAAGGGGAGAGGACCAATCTGGCCCTCGGAGCAGCCCCTGAGGAAGGAGGCAGCAGTGCAGAGCCTCCAGTTCCCTGGCCCACTCCAGGTCCTCACTCCAGCCCTGCCGTGCTGCCCACAGCTCCCAGACTGCGTGCAGCCATGCCGGCTGTTGGTTGATTCCTGCCTCGCTCACAGGGAACGTTATGATTAAAATTAGCTGTCACTGTCCTAACGTAATAATTCCCAGTGTCTGGTCCGTCGTCTGTCAGCCGCTTCAAGGGAAGAGAAAGCCCAGACGTTTGATGAGGAGAGGTGTCAGATGTAATTGCGTTGAATGACTGCACGAACAGCAGCAGGAAAAACACATCGCATGGAGAATTCCCACCAGGAAGTGTGAAAAAATCCGGCAGAATGCAAAGTGTTTATGAAAGTAATTGATAGAATAATCAGCGGGGTGTGCGGGAACCGAGCAGGGCAGCGCCCTGGGGAGCCGGGGCACCGCTGCCTCCAGCCTCCAGCCGCGGCTCTGCTGAGGCGAGGCGAGATCGCCCGTACACGACACCGGGAAGAAGCCGGGCAGCTCCTCCTCACGGCACGGCTCCCCTGCCCCGCTCCAGAGCCAGCAGGCTGGGAAGGCGGCTGGAGCTTCCCAGCCAGCGCATGAAAAAGCCGACGGCAGCAGCCCAGCGTGCAGAGGCTGCAATGGGGGGCATGAATAATTGAAGGCACCAGCCTGAGGAGAGAAGGGAGAGAAAGGCAGCACGGTGGGTAGGGAAGGGATGGTGGGAAGAATCCTGCGGCTCAGATGCTCTCACGGGGCAGTTAGAGCCCATCCTGGCTCCATCCTTGCCAAAGGCAGAGCCTTTGCTAGGGGAGCAGGTAAAGGACTTTCTTTGATTGTGACTTTTCCCTTCCTACAGCCGTGGCTGCCCTGCAAGCAGAACCTCGCTGCCCACGGTGGGGTAGCAGGATGGGGCAGCCGTCCGCGCCCCAGGGATGCTCACGGCCGCTCTCCGATGCCTGCGGGGCACACGCTGCTCCCGGTCAATTCTCTCGCTGCATCCGGCATGGACAAGTTAAAAGGAAGAGTGAACGCACTCCGGGGCTGTGCCAGAGCCTCGCGATGCCGTGGAGGCTCCTCCAGGCCTCCAGCACCGGGCAGAGATGGCGGCGAGCTCCGGGCGCTGCCTGCTGCGGGCAGAGCCTGGCAGGACCTGTCCGTGCCCGCCTGCCACAGCCGAACCCATCCCGCCGGCCACAGCCCCTCTCCTGCTCCACGTCTCCAACCTGCTGGACTCTCGTGGAGTGGAGGGAAAGCTGCACCAGCCAGTAATGAAATGATCAGTCTCCGATCTGCTAAACAGCGATTTATACAGGTCTTCAGCACACACAGCTTTTATCAAATTGGTATTCACCTACTGAACACAAATGGCTTATTATACATGACCCACTTATTCACTGCTTTTCAGTATCGTTAATAAAGGTTTCTGTTGTGATTAAGTGAGTTGCTGCAGAACTGCTCGAGTAGCGAGCTGTAATGTGGCTCCAAAGTGCACTCGCCCTCCCAGAATATTTCATTTCCTTGGCTCCCTGCTCCCTCACAGCGACCATTTCACTATTTATTTGCCTATTGCTGAATTTCTGAGGGGAGCAGTGGTGGCTAATGGAGGCTCTTCACCCACTTTTCCGTCTGGCATACCAGCCTGGCAGGTCTGGAAACTCTCCTGCCGTGAACCCCCAATGCAGAGGTTGATCATCCCTTCCCTGGGCAGGCAGGTACCTGCCAGCCCACGCACTGCTGCGGGACACCTCACACCTTCCACCCTGGCATGGCCCGAGACCATGTGCCTGAGGCTCCTCGGGGCAGAGAGTGGGTCCCTCCGCACACGGGAGGCCCCGGAACTGGGCGGGGGAAGAGCCGGGACCCGGGCACCCAGCATGTCCCCGTGGTCACTCCTCGCGCTAAGACTGAACGTGCCCGTGTCACTCCACAGAGAGCGAGAAGGGTCTCAGCAGCCTCCTCCGAGGGGGCTTGGTCCCCTGTCACCTTCTGGGTACCCACGAGGGAGCTGCCCCTACGCCAGGTTCCTCACCGGAGGGTGCAGGATGCAAGAAGAGGTTCCCCTTTCCCAATCCCGGTGGATCCCAGCGGGCTCAGCAGCACCGACCCGCCGAACCACCGTGCACCGGAGGGAGCGGGGGGCGGCGGGGGAACCCCGCTGCCGGGGCGTGGGGCACCGCACGGCGGGGCGGGCGGCGGCACCGGGAGGCGCGCCGGGAGGTTCACGGACACGGGGTGCGGGTGGTAGCGGCGGCACCGTGAGACACACGGAGACGGGGTGCGGACGGCGGCGGGCACCGGGAGACGCACCGGGAGGTTCACGGACACGGGGTGCAGGTGGTGACGGCGGCACCCGGAGGTTCACGGACACGGGGTGCAGAGCCCCCGACTCGGCAGCCCGGCGGCGAAGGCAGAGGCCGCCCCCCGGGCACCGGAGACGGGAGCGGCGGAGCCCAACCCCAGCTCTCCCAGGCTGCCCTCCGCTCCTCGAGCCGCCGGCGCGACGGACCGCGACGCGAGGCTGCCCTCGGCGGCGGAGCCCGACCGGGACCCCCGACCCCCCGCACCCGTCCCGCTGCCCGGGCAGGAGCCGCCCCGACCCTCCGCCAGCCCCGCGGGGCACCGAGCCCCGGGAGCTCCCGCCGTTCAGCCGCCCCCTTCCCGAGCCCCGGCCGCCGCCGCCGCCGCCTCACCGCTGCCCGCCGCCGGGGCGTCCCACGGGGGGTGCCGGGAGGCGGCGCCGAGCTGCAGGTAGAGCCCCAGGTAGTGGAAAATCCCCAGGGCCAGGGCGAGGGCGCCCATCTTGCCGCGGGCGCGTCCGTCCCGGGGGCGGCGGCGCCGCCGGGCCGAGCCCTGTCCCCGGGGCTGCGCCGCGGTCCCGGCGCCGCCGCGCTGCGGAGCTCTTCCCTCGCGCGGAGGGCGCCGCGCGCCGAGGCGGTGCCGCGGCTCGCCCGGAGCCTCCCCCGCCCGGCGGAGGGATCCCGGCCCGCGCGCACCCCCCAAGTTTTTTTCCCACGGTTCATTCTTAAACTGCGCGGGGCGGGGCCGGACCCGCCGCGCCCACCCGGGACCCCCGGGACCCCCCGGTACTGCCCTGCCCCGCCGGGACCCCTGGCACCGCAGCACCGGGACCCCTCGATACCGCCCCGCCGGGACCCCCCGGCATTCCTCGCACCACTCCACCCGGACCGCTCCACCTGGACCCCTCCTCCGCACTGCCGGGACCTACCGGCACCGCCGCGCCCACTCGGGACCCCCCGGCACCCCTGGGGACCCCTGTCCTGCCAGGACTCGCACGCCTCGCTGGGACCCCTCTGGCACGGCCAGAGCCCCGCGGCTCCCACAGGTCCCGCTCAGGGAAAGGTTTCTCCCTGGCGTCCCCGGTTCCCGCGCACCACCGGTGTCGGCGGGGGAGGATTCAGCACCCAGGACAGCGCCCGGTGCAGACCGCGGACCCGCCCGACCAGCCCGGTTCGGCACGGCCCGGTACGGCACGGTCCGGTAAAGCACGGCACGGTCCGGTAAAGCACGGCACGGTACGGCACGGCACCGCTCAGCCCAGTGCGATCCAGTTCATCTCAGCATTGCCCCAGCGTCTGCAGATGCAGTGCCCACAGGGTGCGGTGCCAAGTGCTCCGGCTTCACCGCAAGTGCCAGGGCCCATGTGGGGGCAGTTCGATGGGTTTTGAAACGCTACAGGAAGAGCAAGGACACGCGTCCCCACGTGTATCCTGATCTCTGTCCCAGACTGCGTAAGATTGGTCTCAAAATGAAGAACCCGCAGCTGGGGTGGGTTGCAAGCTCACATGAACCCTCAGAGCCCGGCTGGAGTGTGGCCAGTGGCAGCAGAGAGAGCTGGAACGGGCACCGTGCTCCTGCCACGAGCAGGATTTCACGGAACTGGAAGGACCCCGATGTTCCTTTGGGTGCACAAATCCTGAGGCCAAACCCACCAACAGCACCAACACTTCCAGAGCTGCACCTCACAGCAGGTCACAACCACAGCACCAGCACCTGAGCAATTCAGACACCTCTTCTGACAAGCCTAAAATTCACCAAGGGGTCCAGTGGTGCCGTATCCCTTTCCTAAACACTGGCCTCAGCACCAGAGGAGGCACAGAGCAGGCGTCACTCACACAAAAGTATCTGTATGCAACAGAGCAATCAAAAGGATATTATTTGCTCTCTAGATAAACAGAAAAAATCAGATTATTTCAGGTGTTTTCTGCCATGAGATGACAGATGTTGGCTGCAAAGAGATTCTTTAAATTGGATTTGAAAATACTGACTGTATTTCCTCAGCCTTCCCTTGGCAGGGCTCCAGAAGGAGTGGGGGTATTCTTCCCATTCCCCTCCAGCAAGGCAGGTCCCTGGCCAGGAGCTGTGCTGCCTCGTACCTGTGTTACTAATCAATAATTTAAAAAAAAAAGTTGTGCCTGCTGCAGCATTTGCTGCATGTCAGAATAAAGCCTGGCTCAGAGCAGAGCATTGATCTCTGCCCAAGTTCATTACTCCCTCTGGAGTTAAAAGCCGAGGATAGGAGGGAGCAGTGGTGACAGACAAATGGGCATCACAGCCATGCCCGGCTGCATTTAGAAGTTTCCACGGCTGGTTGGGATCAGAGGATCCTACTCTGGGATGGCAACAACAGCAGTGGCAAAGGACTTCAGGTGTTCTGAGGTAAAGCTGCCTGGAGCTGCTGAGCAAACATAGCTGTGTCAGGGAGCAGCTCTAGATCCTGACAAAGCAAAAGCATCAGATCTCCCAGAGGCACATGTGGAGGCAAAACCCATGCATTAAACAGGGGGATTCAGGTACCAAAGGATGGGGTTCATGAACTCCCAAAACAGGGAGTTCTTGCACTGAAAGACAGAGTTCATGTACAGAAAGATGGAGTTCATTCATGGGGTCAAGTGCAACAGGAGAAGCAGCAAAGGCCAAGCACTCATGTGCCCCACGTTTTGGGTGACTGGCTCAGTCTCATGGCTGCTGTCTGGCCCAGGGTCCATCCTCTGCCATTGGCCAGCAAGGGAATAAAACCAAACCCACACTGAAGTGGCAGCTACAAACTGTGCTCCCCCAGACCTGGCACTCCACTTTGCAAAGCACCCACCCACAGGTGTAGCCAGAGCAGAAGATGTCACCCAGTGGTGACCACACATCCCAGGCATGGGCAGGGATTCCTGGCTTCAGCCCAGCTCCTGCACCCCAACACGAGGGCAGCACATCCCCCGCTGGGGGCTGAGGTCATGCAGCTGCACCTCAAGGCCTGAAACTTGCCTGTGCACCACCAGAGATATTTAAATCATGCCAGGAGGAAGCAAAGAGCATAAATTCCTCCTGGAGGCAGGAACACCTCCAGAGGCAGAGCCTGAATTAAGTCCCATTTCCAGCAGATTTTCTGCCATCACAGTGGATGAAAAACGGGTACTGGGGACATGCAGGGCCCAGCAGACAGAGAAGTGCCAGTGCCCACGTCTTAAGTGAGCTGGGAAGGTTTGCTTCTCCTCCTCAATTTTAATCCATCAGTGACGAGGCCTCGGGAAGGTGCTGCGGCCCCAAAGAACCCCCTGTGTGTCTGACAGGGATATGGGGGGGTCACTGGCACACAGAAGCGAGAGTGGAGCCAGCAGCTCCCGGAGCTGAGCCGGCACCCGCTGAGTAACGAGGTCCCTTATCTGCTCCCTGTTATTGCTCTGAACAGCCGGCGCCTCCCTCACAGGGCTTCTCTTTCAGCACAACGGGCTCAGGGACTCGCTCTCGAGGATGAAACACTCCTTATCTCTGTCAGTGCCAGGTTCCTGCCCACTGCTCAGTTCTGCTCGGGGGGGGCACTCGCCAGATGGAGGAAAGCAGCGGGCACTTCCATGCAGTGAAACCACAAAGATCCCAGAGGCACCACATCCACCATGGTCACAGCTTGTGCATGTAAATTCCCCGGGACATCTGTCCATCAGGAAAAGGCAATCTGCAAAGCTGGAGGGTGCAGTGGAGCTCAGAAGAGCTGGATGAGGTTAGAAGGGGATGGGAGTCAGCCAGAGCAGCAGCATCTCATGGGGCATCAGCCTCAGGGGGACCCTCAGACCCTGAGGGCACAAAGAACATCCCTGGGGACACAGCTCTAACCTGGAGCTGCCCAAGAACACCCAGAATTAAAGCAAGAGCACTGGTCCTTCCTGCTGGTTCCAAGGGCTGCTCGTGCTCACTCCAATGCCAACACCCCATGTTCCCTTTTGACAGTAAAAGCTGCCCAACAACTGGAAGAAAAAAACCTCAACCCCAAACCCCAGAGCTGCTGAAGCACTGGAGTCTGACTCATGTATTGTTTTGAAATTCACCTCTTTAAGGGCTCATGCAGGGGCACCCCAAGGCTCAGCACTGAGCTCTCCTGAGGTCCAGGAGCCAATGCTCGAATTTGTGTCTGCCTGGGAGAGTGAATTGGGTTGTTCATCTCTGTGACGGGCAGAATAAACACCCTCCACATTGATACTGAGCTCAGTACTGATACTTGTTTAGAGACTTGACAATTCCTGTATAAAAGGATTTCCTTCCACAGCTGAAGTTTGACATTCCTGCATTATTAGATTATTTGCAAAGGTCTGCGTGCGCTGCAGGAAAACAATGCTCCCGCCAGGCAACATTAGAGCCTGCTCCTCCACAAATCATCCCGGGCACAGCCAGCACGAAGGCAGCGCCTGTCGGGATCCCCCGGAGCAGGGAGCAGCCAGGGAGGCAGAGTGGGAGTTCAGGTGAGCAAACGCAACCCACCCACCCACTCCACGACAGCCACAACAGCATCAAAAATAACAGACCGAGCAGGAGAGGGCTTTTGGGTAGAGGGAACCCTGCTCCAAACACCAGCACCACCATGGGTTCCTTGTGTCACTGCCAGCACAGCCCTTCCCAGCAGCACAACCTGGCTGGGAGAGCAGCGGGAGCATTCCTGGGCAGGGACACGCGGTGTCTTGGTCCTCCTGCCTGTGTTGGAATGGTCACAGCCCTGCGTCCCTGCCCTCCCACCCCGGGGAGCCCTGGGAGTCCCAGCACAATGCGAGAAAGGCAGCAGGACCCCTCCCCTCCCCAGCATGTGGGAGCTTTGGGACTTAAAGGCCTCTGCCCAGAGCAGCCCCTGCACAGGGAAATCTCCAAAGCATAAAATTCAGAAGAAAATTACTTGAAAAGAATTATTTCCTCAGAGAACTCAAGCCCATTTCCAGGCCATTAACTCCTTCGTCTGCAGAACCCACCGCCAGGTTCTCGATGGAAAGGAGCAACATCACAGGTGTCCCTCATTGTGGAACAGTTCCCTCTTTCCAAACCATTAAGCACCAAAAAAATTAAATGCGAAAAAACCAAATAATACCACAAACCAACAAGCCCTTCCTCCTCCAAATAATTTCCTGCCCCTGGAGAAAAGCCTTCCCTGAGAGCAAGGCCTTAAAAGAAAAAAAAATATTTAAAAAAATCAATAGTGTAAGTGACTTATTTCGCAGCTGATGGTTTGCTCCCAGTGCTGACAGCCTCTTGCTGTATTTAGCACAGCCTCAGTCCCTCCACTGGGATATCAGGAGATGTTCCTCAGCCATGATTTACACTCATTTCTCCTCGTTTAGGGAGGCTCAGCCAGGAGCGGAGCTGAAGATGGATTTGGACACACAGTGGGGACGATCGGTGCCTGTCTCCTGCGGCCAGTGGGAAACACTATCAGCTCCTGCCACTCCCAGCAGGAGGAAAACAGTGCTCCCACCCTCCCTGATACTGCCAGCACTGGGGCTCCCACCCTGTCACCCACTGCATGGGTG